CCCGCCCCCCCCAGCCGCCCGCTTCAGTCCCCAGAGCCAAGGCAGGAGGAGGGGCCCCGCCTCACCTGCATCTCTCCTTCTGCAGCGACTCCAGCGACACCTGCAGGTCTCTCAGGCGCCTCTCCGCGAGGCTCTGAGAGGCCTCCTGCAGGCGGGCGTGGGGCCCCTCGACGGCCTCCAGCTCTTCCTTCACCTTCTGCAAGCGCAGGCTTGGCCGCGCCACGCGCCCGGCCTCTGAGGACTCGCCCTGCTGCCCGCCCGGGAGGGGACTCCCTGGAGCCGAGTGCCTGTCCGCGTTGGGCAGTTGGGCGGGCGCGCGCTCCACGCTGGGCCTGGGGGCCTCCGAACCCGGGGCCGTCTGGCCGGGCTGCCCGCAGTCGTCCAGCGGGCTCCCCGACGTCGGCACCAAGCCCTTGGGCCTGCCGCCTTCCTCCAGCTCCTGGAGCTGCCGGTGGCACTGGCGGAGCCTCTGCTCGATGCGGGCGATGGTCGCAGAGGTGCGCTGGTTCACCTTCTCGAAGGCCTGGCGGACGTGCGGGGCCCGGTGCCGGTCGGCTTTGGACACCAGCTTGAGGTAGCTCGCGGTGTTCTCGTCCCGCCGGGCCTGCTCCACTCGCAGCTGCTCCGAGAGGTAGAGCATGCGGTGCCTGATGCTCTTCGGTAGGGCCCGGCCCGGCGCCCTGTCCGGGGGCCTGGACTGGCCGCTGGGGCCCTCCCGGCTGGGTGACGGGGACCTGCGTGATGGCACGTGGGAGGGGACGCTCGTGCCGGGGCGCTGCGTGTTTTCCGCCTGCGTGGGGAATGAGAAATCACAGGACGGATGTCTGTGAGCCGCACGTGGTAGCAGCCTGGACACAGGCGCTTCGCTCCGTGGAAACACTCGCAGGCGCGCACTGGCCTCGCGCACAAAGCACGTGTGCGTTCCAGCCGGGCCGACGCGCACCGGGGAGGCCGCGCTCGCCTTCGGGGCCCCCTTCCCCTTTGCCCCTTCCGACTCCTTGCCCTGTGGTTGGGCCTCGCGAAGACCCCGCGTGGCTAGGCTGGCCCCTGCCCGTCTGCCCGCCCGTCCTCGGACGCCTCCCCCATTTCCTCTTCCAAAAGTGACCGACCGTGGGTCTCAGGCGGAACGAACTGTTCTAGCAGAGGGCCGACTGAACTCCTCCCGTGGCCCAGGCAGCTCGCCGGGCCGGGGCTCCTCGGGAGACAGGAGGGGTCGCGAGACATCTGCCTCCCACCGGACTCGGACGTTCTTCCAGCCGCTCACTCAACACGTCCTTCCCGAGTGCCCACCACGTGGCACAGAAGCCCCACACACTCCCTGAGCTGACGGTCCCGGGTGGACAGTCCGACGGGAACACGAGAGAACGCGTCTCGCCCGTGCTGAGGGACAACCCTGCCGGTGAGAAAGAGCCCAGGCCGGATTCTGGCTCTGGCGCTCGGAGACCCTGAGCAAGTTCCCCCACGACTCTGGTGCTCGGTCCCTCGCCTCTGCGATCAAGGGGCGCCTGCAGCCTAGCTGGGACCCAGCGGCCAGGGCCGATGGGCCGGGCGCGAGGAGGGGGCGGCCGGGGCAGCTCGGCGCAGCTCCGCTCTGGTGCTCCTGTGGAGCCGTAGGGCTCTCCCAGTCTGCCATCTGAGCACGCCCTCCCGGCGGCAAGTCGGGAGTCGTGGTCGCGGGACGGCCAGCTCGGTTCTGGGTGTTCCCCTGCAGGTAAACGGCACCTCGATTAGAAAAGAAAACCGCAGGGCGAGGCCGCCACACACCCGGCAGGTCGGCCAAGCTTACTACCGAGACGCGTCAGCAGATTGTGGAGCCACGGAGCTCTCCACCGCTACTGGGGGAAGAGCAACCTGCTGTGACCACGTGGCGAAGTCACGTGGCAGTCTCGCGAAGCTGGAGACACGCACGCCCGAGGATCCAGCCGTCACATCCGCAGGCAGCATGCCCGGGAGAGGGCGCGATAGGCTCGCGGTCGCCGACGACTGGAAACAGCCCCCTGCCCATCCAGAGAGGAGAGCGTAAGAGACAGGCATCCGTTCAGCAGTACACTCCTGTCCAGTCACCGAAACACACAAAAGAGCAAAACGGCAACACAGACAGACTGCGGCTGTGAAAACCGGGAGTGGACTTCACAAGCGGCGTGTTGGACAAAAGAAGCCCAGCGGCCGGCGGCCCAGTGACTCGCTGGCGAGCACCTGCTCCTTCTCTTGGCCCGGGCGGCGGCGACGCTGGCTTCCAACACCCGCGGGTCTGGGCCGTCAGCAGAGACAGGGTCTCACGCTCCGGGAATCAAGCGATCCTCCCACCTCAGCTTCCCAAAGTGATGGGATTACGGGCGTGAGCCACCGCGACCGACCCCCAAGCCCCCTTTAAAAATGTCAGCGCGAGGGAAGGGACCGTGTCTGTCCCCGTCGTTGCTGAATTCCCCAGTGCCTGGGATGGTGTCAATACACGCTTGTAAAAATTTAAAGAGAGCGAGAGCAAGAGCGAGAGCGCGCGAGGGAAGCCCAACAGGAAATGCACACGACGTTCGCTTCCATGTGTATCGAATCCAAGAGCGGCCCACGGGACACGCCGTTGTGTAGGGACGCCTGCATGGGCAGAAAAGCCACGAAGACCGCACGGACTCGAGCGGCACAGGCCTCAGGGAGACGGCGCCCACCAGGTGGGGGAAGGCGATTGGGACTGGGGTGACACGTGGAGGCCGGGTTGCTTCCCCGAGAGGTAAAGTGTGCGTGGACCTCGTCGTGATTTCTGAAGAGGCGTGCTGCTGCTTCCTGCACTTTTGTGTACCCGTGCCAGTTTTCACAATTCTCAGAAACGTGCATGTTCAAGAGACAGACTGAACAGCAGATGACAGGTGGCAGGAGAGACAGTGGGTGAATCGTACGACAGAGCTGCAGAACTCATTGCAGAGGCATGAAGAAATAGAAGACCTGGGAAGAAGACACGGAGGACAGCGGGAGAAGGCCTCGCGAAGACCTGTCTGGCCACAGAGAGAAGAAAGAATAGAGTGTGAGAGTGTGGCAGCGTTTTTTTTTTGAGTCGGAGTCTCACTCTGCCGTCCAGGCTGGAGTGCAGTGGCACGCTCCCGGCCACCACAGCCTCGACCTGCTGGGCTCAGGCGATCCTTCCGCCTCGGCCTTCGAGGAGCTGGACCTACGGGCGTGAGTCAACACGCTGGACGATTTTTTTGATTTATTGTAGAGATGAGGTCTCACCAAGTTGCCCAGGTAGGTCTCAAACCCGTGAGCTTGGGCGATCCTCTCACCTCGGCCTGCCAAAGTGCTGGCTGGGATTACAGGTGTGAGCCACCACGCCTGGACCTAACGAAATTTTGGCTTTTTTTTTTCTTTTTTTGAGTTGGAGTCTCACTCCGTCGCCCAGGCTGGAGTGCAGTGGCAAGCTCACGGCCACCCCAGCGTCGACCTGCCGGGGTCCAGAGATCCGTTCGCCTCAGTCTTCCAAGTAGCTGGAACTACAGGCGCGCGCTACCACGCCCAGCTAATTCTTTTTGACGTACTGGAGAGATGAGGGCTCGCCAAGTTGCCCGGGCTGGTCTCGAACTCCTGGGCTCAGGCAATCCCTCCGCTCGGCTTCCCAAAGGGCTGGGACGACAGGCTGAGCCACGAGCCCGGCCGTGGCAGCGTTTTACGAGGTACCCCTCAAGAGCTTCCCAGAACCGAGAAGAGACACCAACCCACACACTCAAGACGCTCGAGCAGTCCCAAGCGGGAAAGACAGAAGCGGGTCCAGACTGAGACACGAGGTCTCCGAGGCAGCCAGGGGAAAGCAGCTGATTACCTTGACATCCATGGCTTGCGGACTGCGAGCTGGCTTCCCCGCGGCGTCAGCGGAATCCAGAAGACAGCGGGCTAACATGATCTTCAGTTTGCCGAGGGAAGAACTGTCAGAGAGAAAGAGGCAGGTCGCGTTCAAGGACTCAGCAGCCGGGATGTCTTCACCCCTTTCAGCACCAACGCGGGGAGCTACAGGACCGTGACGCGACGCCTTGGGAATTCGGAGGGACAACGACTTTCCAGCCGAGAACCTCACGGCCAAACTGTCAATGGCGAGGAGAGACTCAAGGCGGGTTCAGACGTGCAGGGTGTCGGTATGCCACTGGCAAATGTGAGAACCAAACCACTGCTTCCAAAGCAGGTCGTGCTGGGGGCGGTGGTGCCAGCATTTAAGACTCACGAGACTGCAGGGCGGTGGCGTGTGCCCGTAGTCCCGGCTACCAGGGAGGCTGGGGTGGGAGGATCACTCGACATCAGGACTTTGAGTCCAGCCTGGGCAACGTGATGAGACTCCCGTGTGCACAGCACAGTATAAAAGCACCTCGGAAGTAGGGACATTCTTTAACTCGTCACTGACCGGTTCTGGGGGAATAAACAGATAGGACAGGAAACTCAAAATGAGCAAAAAATATGTTGGTAAAAAAAGGAATCACCAGCAGAGTAGAAGCCAAGTATCCAAATCACCTAGGGTGGGGGGGGGGATGGAAGTTGGTTTTTTTTTCTTTGTTTTTTTTTTGAGTCAAAGTTGTATTCTGTCACCCTGGCTGAACGGCAGTGGCACGTTCACGACTCACCGCAGCCCCAACCACCCGGGCTCAGGCGATTCTTCTGCCTCAGCCTCCTGAGTTGCTGGACTACAGGGACGTGCCACCACGCCTGCCTACATTTTTTTTTTTTGAGTCCAAGTCTCACTCTGTCGCCCAGGCTGGAGTGCAGCGGCATGCTCCCAGCCACTGCAGCGTCGACCCGCTGGGCTCAGGCGATCCTTCTGCCTCACCTTCCAAGTAGCCGGAACTACAGGCGTGCGCCACCACGCTGGGCTAATTTTTTGATTTATCGTAGACATGACGTCTCACCAAATTGCCCAGGCTGGTCGCGAACCCGTGAGCTGAGGCAATCCTCTCACCTCGGCCTCCCAAAGTGCTGGGATTACAGGTGTGAGCCACTGCACCCAGCCCGGGCTACATTTTGGTTGATTGATTTTTTTTTTTTTTTGGTAGAGACAAGGTCTTGCTAGGCTGTCCAGGCTAGTGTCAATCTCCTGGGCTCAAGCAATCTTCCCGCCTCAGCCTCCCAAAGTGCGGGGATCACAGGCCTGAGCCACCACTCCTGGCCGGAAGTTGATTAAGCCCCAACAAATGAAGGCGAGGAGAAACGAAGAGAAACGAGATACGAGGGTCAGTCGAAAAGATAAAATAAGATGCCAGTAAGATGTGATTGCCGCCGGCTCTGTGCCGTGCTCTTGAGAAGGCGCAGTCGCCCTCTACATATGAGCCCACAGCTCCCCGAATGGCTCACTGAAAACCCCAGGGGAATGTCCCACCGGTCCTGGATCGGCTGGTGCCAACATTTCTCTCCAGCGAAAATGCAAACAGCTCGGACCCTCCAGAACAGGGTGTTGGGAAAACGCCCTGCTTGGGAAACATCAGGTTCAAGTGTTAGCGGACGCTGCTGCCACAAGAAAGCCCAGAGTAGGGAGCTAAACGCCCAAAACAAAGTCGTTACGCCCAGGACGTATTCAGAAGAAGAGTTTCTGTAACCTCGGGGTGGAGAAGTATTTTCTGAGCAAGTCTCAAACCAAAGTGCCATAAGGAAAGGGCCGTACGCATCCTACGATGCAGAATGTTTAAAAGCCTTCTGGCCGGGCGCTGTGGCTCACACCTGGAATCCCAGCAGTTGGGAGGCAGAGGCGAGAGGACTGCCTGGGCCCACGGGCTGGAGACCAGCCCGGGCAGCCTGGCGAGATGTCGTCTCTACAATAAATTTCAAAATCGCTGGGTGTGGTGGTGCACGCCTGTAATTCCAGCTACTTAAGGCTGAGGCGGATGAATCGCCCGAGCCCAGCAGGTCGAGGCTGCGGTGGCCGTGAGCGTGCCCCTGCCCTCCAGCCTGGGCGACAGAGTGAGACTCTGCCTCAAAAAAAAAAAAAAAAAGGGAAAACACGCAAAGTACAAAAGAAGTGACGTTTGTGTTTTGGTTTTACGCAAAAATACAGCATCTCCCGTACCTAAAAAATATGGCGCGTGCCTTTAATGCCGCTGCCCTCCAGCCTGGGCGACAGAGTGAGGCTCCAACTCCAAACAAACCCGCCAACCAACCAAAAACCCAGCAGATTGACAAGGGAAAGAAAAAAAACTTGGAAGGCCTGTAACAGCTACAGAGCGAAAATGCATAATGTGAAAGGGAGTCCTACTCATCCAGAAGCTCAAAGCAGACCACGTGCCCGGAAGCCGTTCAGGACAGCAAAGGACAATTCCCGAGGGCCAGAGTGCGCACGGCGACAAACGTGCCAAACGCCCATGGCAATAAACGTCAGGCAACAGGCACACCTGCCAGGTGACCAGGGGCCGGTGAGCGAAGCGGTGATGCCATGACATCTTGCCCCTCCCCACCCCCTGCCACGGCGAGTCGCGAGGCCAGCCAGGCCAGTGTTGGCCAGGATGTGGGGACGAGTGCTGGCACGCTGTAGGGGGGGGCACGAGGGGCTCCGGGCTCCGAGGGCCATGGGCCGCAGCCGTCACCAGGGCGCAGGCACGTGCCCTGGACCCAGCAGGGTCGTGGCCGCCTAACGGCCTGCAGGTGACACTTCGCGGCCGTCGGCGGGACTGGGTGGGAACGGGGCATCCTCCAGCGACGGTGCGGCCTTGGGCTCCGGGTGCCGGGACCTGGGGACAGTGTGGTGGACCTGGCGCCACCGGGAGCTGGATCTGGGACGAACTCGCGGGCTTCCGGAGGGCGACACCGCGGCCCTTAGGGACGGGCACGACCGGGACCGTGGAGACCCCAGGCACACCCTGGCCTCACGGGAGGCCCCTGCAGGCGGGTCACGTGACCGGCGGGCTCGCACCCCAGAAGGATCTGGAAGGAGACAGAAGGCCGGCCGCAGCCTCGTGGGGGCGGGACTGAGCCGCATCACCACGCCCGCCGGCCGGGCTGCTGTGGGGGAGGGGCGGCCATCGGCACCCC